ATGTAATTCATCGTTGGGTGGTAGTTGGTAAATGATAATAAACCATTAATATAATATTTATGGCAGTACAAACGTTTGCATCCCCAGAGAAAAAAAAAAAAGCTTTGGCGGGGGGGAAACCGTAACCAGCCACAGCATCAAATAAAATTTTTAGAAACAATTACAAAAAAATTTGCGCAAAAAAAAAAAAAAAAGAAAAAAAAACTGGGTAGAAATGATCATGATTTGATAGAAGTGTCATAAAAAAATTAAAACAAAAAAAAATTCGCTACAAGCTTTATATTAGACGTCTTAATTATAAAATAAAAATGTTCATAACTTAAAAATCATCGTTCATATAGCTGTCCATTAAAATTTCGATAATATACAAGATTAAGTATCTGTTAAAATAGGTGTCCAAAATTCCTATAGATATCTAACCCCCCAGCTTGAACAATATTCTAGCAGTGTGTAATGAACTATAGAGAGGATTGCCTTTTGCTTTTGGCGCATAATTGATTCACACTTAATTGTCTCCTACAAGCTCTTTCATTATTATTATTATTGTTATTATTATTATTATTATTATTGCTAATACTCTCAGATAAAGGTGTTAAATCTGGTTTTCATTGGTTCTGCGCAACAAGGCCTAGGGAAGCCAAGAAACGTCCTTCATTTTACTTTCTCCCTGGTCTACATCTCCAACACTTTCCTAAGTATCCTTGCTGACCCCAAAAGTACACATCTCTGAATCAGTTCAATGGATGTGTCGACACCTATGGTCCTCGGATTTTCTTTTAACCTCAGTGGTATTTTCCCCACTGCCCCCACTACTATGGGTATCACCTTTGTCCTTACGCCCCACATCTTTCGGATTTCTCTAGCGAGATCTTGATATTTTTCTTCTTTCTCATCCTCTTTTGTTCTCACCCTTCCATTGTCCGAAATTGCCTGCTGACGTCTATAATTTGTCAGTTGTTCTCTTTTTTGTTGATGATCAATAGGTCCAGTCTCCTAGCCTCAATTTTATGGTCTGTTCATATACTAAAATCCCACAACATCTTGTAATCCTCATTTTGAAGTACTGTACACTGTCCGGAACATGGTCATACCACCTCTCATTTCGCTGAAACCCATATTTTCCTGACAGGTCCCAATCGATTGCTCTAGCTACATTTTCATGTCTCCTTTTATATTCTTTTTGTGCCAGTTTTGGACACGCACTTTAATACAATATGGCTGATGGTCTCGTTGTTTTGTTTGCACATTCTACATTTGGGGTCGGTCTGTGTCCTGTCAATTGTTGCTTTTACATAATATTTGTTCTTATTGCCTGATCTTGTGCTGCAACAATAAGAGACTGTGTTTCTAATTAAGTTTAAGCTTTCCTTCTTTCAACCAAGTCTATGTTTCATCATTTTTTTGATCTTGATCCCTCTGTCTTGCAAACTGCCTGTATAATGGCATCTCTTTCCATCCTTGGATATTTTCAGTTCTCCTCCTGTCTTTGAAACTGGCAGCCATTTCGTGGTTTTCAACTCCTTCCCTCCTGACTGCTTTCAAAAACTCCTCCTCACTGGATTGGACATACCCTGTAAGTCTCCAACAATAATGCTGCTTGATTAACACAGTCATCGATTGAGATGAGCCCTAATTTCCTCCCATCTTCTTTGGAACAAAGAGTCGTTTTACACAATTACGTGGGTGAAAGCCCCCATTCATTGTCAGTAATTTTCTATTCCTGGAGTTCTTGTTTTTTCCAGTCCATTACACCCCCTGCATTATTATTATGATATTTATTATTTTTTATTTATTTATTTTTTAAATCGAACGTATTTTATTGATAATATTAAAATCTTATTTACAATTAATTCACTATTAAAAAAAATTATTTTGTCAAAACACTATTTACAATTCCTTTCGTTAAAAAAAACCACTTCGTTTTGATTAGAAAAGAAAAATTCATTTCATTAAACAAAAATTATTCAAATTAAGAACATTTCGTTTCAATTAAAACAATTCATTTCGAATAAAGAAAGAAGAAACTATTTTCAAGGTCAATAATTGACCTTGAAAATAGTTTCTTCTTGCAATTATTGCATTCTTACTAAGATAATCACTAAAAAAATCACTAAAAAAGAGGAAAATTAAATAGCATTCACAATGTGTTATTGACAAATATTTGCCATTTAAAAGTAAGAAACAACACATCAATAGTCCGATTGAATAGCTCCTTCAACAACTTCGACGTCAATATCAACATTCGTAATCTCACATGGCACTCTTCTTGTCCTAGAGCCTCTAAGACAAACCAACCCAGATCTCAAGAGTGCGAATGAGGTTCTGGTTCTGATCTATGAGATTGTTTTGGCATACTCATGCTCCCCTTTTTTGATGGCAATCAGCTGTGCTAAGCGGCTATGATACATCAAGCACTCCTTTCCCATTCCGCCAGTACTAGTTGTGGTGAAGACCAAAGGTGTAAATTTTCCATGCTCGATGTCCAGGACTCTCTTTGAGTAGAGATGCTTTTTCTCGTTCTCATGGATACGATAAATTTGTTGTGGCTCTAGGTCCCTATACGATACAGCATTAGGGTGACAGACCCTCACATCGAATAATGCTGTTCGATGTCACTCCAAGAAACCACGTGCCTGTATATCAAACCTCGCATCCTGAGCTTTGTTAGATCCTCTGTTATTATTATTATTATTATTATTATTATTATTATTATTATAATTATTATAATTCGATTGCAGGATCTTAATATCTCTGCATAATGGAATTCTTAATTTTATAGAATTTTGAATTTTTATTATTAATTATATCTATTTCCTCTTCTTTTATGTAAGGTTAAGTTTCTTCTATTTTTTAGAATTTGTAAATGAATAGTTTTTTCTTTCTTCAATTATAGTAGATAGTATTGTTTTTGTTTTCTAATGAAGGTGGAGTGTTT